GCCGGAGGAAGCCCCCGCCGCCCCCGCCGCCGCCACCGCCCCCGCTGCCGCCGGCCCCCGAGGACAGCCGCTCCCCCAAGCCCGCGGCCCCCGGGCCCTGCTTCGGGGGCCGCACCCTGGAGGAGATCTGGAGGGCGGCCACCCCGACGCTGACCACCTTCCCCACCATCCGCGTCGGCGGCGACGTGTGGGGCGAGCGCAGCCTGGCGGCGGCGCGGCGCCGGGCGCGCCAAGTCCTGCGAGTGAACCTGGAACCCGTGGTGAGGCTCCGCCGCTTCCCGGTGCCCCGGGCGTGAGACTCGGCCCCCTCCGCGAGACTCGGCCCCCTCCGCCCCGGGACGGCTTCCGCCTGGAGGGATGAACAAGTGACAGTCGAGTGTTTACAGATCCGGCCGGGACCGCGTTCCCTAGTGCACTTTACGGGCGAAGAAGCACCGGATGGTCCCGGCCCGCGCCCCCGGGATGCGGCGCCGCCGTCTGGGACTCCGGGGCAGGTGTGCCCTCTGCTGCCTCCCAGTACCGGGTCTGCGGAGGGAGGAGACAGCTGGACCCGCAAGGGTGGCCCCCTTTCTTCCTAACCCCAGATTGAGACGTCTCCAGGACTATAGGGGCAGATCCGTTTTCTCCCTTTTGGACTCTACCTCACTGGTCTGGAAGCCCTCCGAAGAAGTCATTCTTTTTTCCAAAGGAATTTGGTTTCGTGCTTGTGTAATAAAGCTAGAATTTACTTGCTGTTCATCCACCTCCCCGCTTCCCCCGCCCCACTTTTTCTTTTTTGACTGCCACCCCTCGTTCTGGACGAAAGATCGAATATGTGTTGAAAGGTGTTGCACTAGTTTGTGCTCAGGGTATTCTGAATCCCACTCGTTTCCGAATTTTAACTGGATTCCAAAGCTTTGACCAAGGATATTTTCTAAGAAATTCAAGCGTATGACTGTTAATAATGTAGGGATTTGTATGGCTTTGAATTTCATGGGCTCAGTGATTACAAACAAAGAGATGCAAAGTTCAACTGTTTAAACATTTTTAAGGTGTTTCTAAAGATTTTATATTGAAATTTAATGTTTATATTTACTGAGCTCTTAAAGGAAATGGCAGAAACTCATGAAGTTTTGTTTAGGAAAAGTTGACTTGTGAAAATTCTTTTTAAGTGAATAAAATTAAAGTGCATTGAAACCACATGGCTTGTGATAAAAAAGAATGAGTGAATTACAAAGAACTGGTGTTGGTTAAAGAGATGGATGGAATCCGATTGGAAATGATTTGGCCTCCTTGTACTAGTCTAACATACAGATCTGGGAATATTTCAAGGATAATTTATTTTAAAATGGAAATCGCGTAGGAAAAATGAGTATGCGTATGCGCGGTGACCAAAATGCCAAACAGAATACCCATTGGAATTCTCAGAAGTATTAATGATCTAGAGGGGTGGAGGCATTTCTTGGTATCAGATAACTGGTTGAAGTTAACTTTGGGCAAAATAGGTTTTCCTCCCTTGTTTTTGTTGTTGTTGGGTAACAGAAATGTCCAGATTACTATCAGTCACTCTTATAAACATCATGACAATTAGTTAACTGTTTTGCTTCACGAGTTTCCTTTATTATCTCGTTGCCATTCATAATTATGTTTGCAGTTATTGGTCTTTTGTTTGACAGCCGAAGACCACAGGAATCAAACAGGCGAGCCACAAGAGTACTGACCCTTCTTTTACACTTTTATAATAGTGTTTATATCCTATGGCCCAGTGTGGAATTCTTGATTATCCAAGTGCCTTCGGTCATTGGTGGCAGCAAGACTTAATGGTTTTTAGCCAGTGGTGCCGCAGCCAGATTTTACTGCAATATCTAAAGGGTCAAGTAGTGATTTTGTACCACTATTATTTCAAATTTGAGTATTCTGCCATGGAACCATCCATACCAGGCTGGAACATGACCTATGAAATCTTCAATATTAAGGTTTCTCTCTGCTTGGCAGCTTCTTAGGGGAATAATGAGAGTTGCAATTTTGACTCTTGTGTTTTTAGAATTCAAATGGCATAGCTTTCTGAAATGAATTTTTCAAGTTTAATAGTTCATAGTAGGAGTTTTGTGACTTTAATTTCAGTGTTCTTGTTTTGTAAAAAAGAAAAAAAGGAAAAAAAAGATATATCTATATATATATGACTTTATGCCAGTTACCCAGTAAGCCTCATATTCTTTTATTCACTACTCAATGATAATGTGTTGCTACAAATACTGTCACATGAGTAAATAAAAGTGAATAATTACTTAGAAGATGGAGAGTGTTAAATTATATTTGTGTGATAGGAAGCTTATATATATTCTTTTGGTTATTAGCTTCCATTGCCAATTGTATTTCAAATACATAGGGTTTTCTTCCCCCCCCCCATTACCTTTTTTAGCTAATTAGCACCTGAGGAAAAAATACATATTTGTACCACTTCACTATTGTATATAATTTTATATTAATTAAAAAATAAATCCAATGGCCATATTAGAATGTAATTTCAACATATAGCTTATCTAGATAGCTTCCCAGAGGATTTTGAAATTAGATGTAGCTGGGAGGATAACTTTGCTCAGCACAAAATTGAAACATAACCATTGACACCATGCGTTTATTTAAACTTAACTGAGAATCTTATTTTTTTTTTCTTCCTATGCCTTGTTACTTTAGTGCACTTGAACTTGCGTTAATGCTTTGGGTTATCCGGGCTATCTGATTTCAGTTTGGATCTGATTGCCCATCCTAAATTTAATGTTATTTACCTGGTCTCTTAAAAAATCTTGCCGTTTCTAGTTTGCAAAACAAGATGTAAAAAAATCTTTATTTTTGCCAAGTTGTCTTTAGCAAAACCTTGCTGAAGTTGGTTGTTTTACAACTTATACAATGTGAAGAAACAACTAATATAGTTGATTCGTATATTAATAGGAAAATGAAAGTATTTTATGGATACTTTTGGGCAGAATGTGAAAAGGAACTTGGCACGGTGGCCTTTTTGATGAGGCATTCATTTACTGTCTTCTAAAGTGAGTCTGTGCTTAGCTTGTACATAGTTTTTTGAAAGAAATCCCATAATCTTTATTCATTCTCTTACCTTTATATCTCATATGGCACAAGTAAAGGGGGAAGTTAAGGAGGAAGTTTATCACCTTGCTATGCTTGAGTGCCTAAATGTGGTGACCGGCACCTGAAATAACCTTTTGAATTCCTGATGTCATTTTTATCCCCCTTCAACTTGTCAACCAGCAACTTATTTTTCCTTACGGAACTCAGTAATGTTATGATTGTTGAGGGCAAACTTCATTGTTGTTAGTGCAAAGTGTCGCTGTGGTGGTGTGTATTTATTTTGTCCAAGTTTGAGTACCCGATTGGACAAGTGTAATTTAAGCTGGTGGCTGACACGTATTGATTTGCTGTGTGCAAGCAATAGTACTATCTTCCTGAAAACTATTCAATAAAAATGCATTAAAAATATTCGGATACAAAAAAACGTGAGCAATTTTGAACTCAAAATTTTTTTGTTGTTTCAAGGATTGCCACAGCACTCTTTAAATTGGTGTTTTTAATGGACATATATACATAATATTTACTTTATTGCTGTGTTTAAAATATTTTTTGATAAGACTGTTATGTCTTAAGTGCATTAGAAAGCAATTGTTTGTAATGGAACTGAATTGTTTTCTTGGACAGTTTGATGTGCGCATATGATTAAGATTTACAATCTGGTTGTACTTTTCTTTTTAATTTATTAACTGTAAATAAATTTTAGAGAATATACAGTGTCTGGCTTTTCTAATGATGTTGGGGAGTTTTTGAAATGGGATTTTATGTTTGCATGTGAATTGGAAGGCGATGTGAGAAGTTTTGACTTCTTTTGTGAACTTCAGAATCCTGGAAGTCTTGAGATACGTGTTTTATGCTATTTGGGGAGTCAACAGTATATCAGTATCAACTCTGATGATCTAGTGAATCTCTGAGACAGTGCTTCATGCCCAAGCCCAAACCATTACCCAGTTTGCCAGCTTAATAAAGACTTTAAAAATGCATCAGGGGGCGCCTGGGTGGCGCAGTCGGTTAAGCGTCCGACTTCAGCCAGGTCACCATCTCGCGGTCCGTGAGTTCGAGCCCCGCGAACTGATGGCTCAGAGCCTGGAGCCTGTTTCCGATTCTGTGTCTCCCTCTCTCTCTGCCCCTCCCCCGTTCATGCTCTGTCTCTCTCTGTCCTAAAAATAAATAAATGTTGAAAAAAAAAATTAAAAAACAAAAAAAATGCATCAGAATTCACTTTGACTCCTGACCCCAACCCTCTTGGGGTGGTGATAGAAGGTCTCACGCTCACGTTTTTTTATATTGTAAAAGAAAGTAAGCGTGCTCTATATGAGTAGCAGCAGTAAAGGCTGTTCTACAGAAGTAAAGCCCGAATTTTCATTACAGTCTAGAGGGTAGAAGTGCAGTGCTAGGAAGGGCAGGATTCATAGTATTATGTGGCCTGAATATGTCTTCGTATCTGAGTTCCTATCAATAATTGGAGGCAGCAGTGTAATAGCTGTGGATCACATTGCCTGGGATGGCATTAAAGCTTTGCCACTTGCAACCATCCGAACTTTAGGTAAGTTACAGAAACTTTGTGCTTTAGCTTCCTCAAGAATCAAATGCGGTTAGTAAAAGAAACTATTGGGCTATTGAAAGGATTAAAAAGGGCGTTAATGGGTGAACAAATAGGAAATGCTTAATAAATGCTATTAATTGGAGGCATATGTACTGAGAATAAGTGTATATGCTGAGTGGTCCTTTGGGAGTTTGGCATCCTGAAAATAGAGTGTGGTCTGGGAAAGGCAAAAGACAAATGATGAGAAGGTAATTTGTGGGTGAATTAAATTGAAGACAGACAGCAGGAGGTTAGATTAAGTTGATTTATTAGGTAGTTTTCACTGTTGGAGGTTTTCTAGACTTCCTTAGAAATTTGAGGTCTTTTTATCATTTCTCTGAAAGATATTTAAAATACGCTGTTAGGGATATTAAACTATCTGAGAATATATAAAAGTAATAAAAGTTACTGATCAAGAACTTGCCAAATTTCAACACTAAGTTTTCACTTCAAGTAAGCTCAGTAAGGTTTGCTTCAAAGCCATGTGAATTTACATGTACAAAACTAAATTAGAAGCAATTTGTGTGAGCTTTGTACTTCCTGTGTTGAAACAAATGAGTGCAGTAGTTAGATTTGAAATAGCAGAAAGTTATTACCAAAAGAAGATATCCTCACATTTGAAGCATTGACACACTCATCTTTGGATTTTGGGTCTAATGCCTGTAATTTAGCTCTGATACCACCCCTCCCCCGCCCCCCACAAGGAATAACAATCTATTCTAAATTGGTGAGCAAGCCAAAGTTGCAGTAGCTGAAATTAACACAAAAAGAATTTCCCTAGATGGAAGTTATCCAGTGGTAAGAAGCTCAAAACTGAGCCTGATTGCAGATTCCGCAAGAGCAATGACTTCTCACTGTCAGCACTCACTTGTCTTGGTAAAAGTCACCCTAAACTGTAATTTATTACATGAACATATCCAGAGCCCA